TAAACAACAGAGAGAGTACCACAACAACCCCGAGGTAAAACAACAGAGAGAGTACCACAACAACCCCGAGGTAAAACAACAGAGAGAGTACCACAACAACAACGAGGTAAAACAACAGAGAGAGTACCACAACAACCCCGAGGTAAAACAACTGAGAGAGTACCACAACAACCCCGAGGTAAAACAACTGAGAGAGTACCACAACAACCCCGAGGTAAAACAACTGAGAGAGTACCACAACAACCCGAGGTAAAACAACTGAGAGAGTACACAACAACCCCGAGGTAAAACAACAGAGTAACAACCCCGAGGTAAAACAACAGAGAGTACCACAACAACCCCGAGGTAAAAACAACAGAGAGAGTACCACAACAACCCCGAGGTAAAACAACAGAGAGAGTACCACAACAACCCGAGGTAAAACAACAGAGAGAGTACCACAACAACCCCGAGGTAAAACAACAGAGAGAGTACCACAACAACCCCGAGGTAAAACAACAGAGAGAGTACCACAACAACCCCGAGGTAAAACAACAGAGAGAGTACCACAACAACCCCGAGGTAAAACAACAGAGAGTACCACAACAACCCCGAGGTAAAACAACAGAGAGAGTACCACAACAACAACGAGGTAAAACAACAGAGAGAGTACCACAACAACAACGAGGTAAAACAACAGAGAGAGTACCACAACAACCCCGAGGTAAAACAACAGAGAGAGTACCACAACAACCCCGAGGTAAAACAACAGAGAGAGTACCACAACAACCCCGAGGTAAAACAACAGAGAGAGTACCACAACAACCCCGAGGTAAAACAACAGAGAGAGTAAACAAACAACCGAGGTAAAACAACAGAGAGAGTACCACAACAACCCCGAGGTAAAACAACAGAGAGAGTACCACAACAACCCCGAGGTAAAACAACAGAGAGAGTACCACAACAACCCCGAGGTAAAACAACAGAGAGAGTACCACAACAACCCCGAGGTAAAACAACAGAGAGAGTACCACAACAACCCCGAGGTAAAACAACAGAGAGAGTACCACAACAACCCCGAGGTAAAACAACAGAGAGAGTACCACAGAGGGACTCAGAGTGTGTTGTGTTGTGTTTGTTGTGTTGTATGTTGAATGTTGTGTTTGTTGTGTCATGTGTCGTGTGTCATGTGTGTTGTGTGTGTTGTGTGTTGTGTGTCATGTTGTGTGTCATGTGTGTGTGTCATGTGTGTTGTGTGTCGTGTGTCATGTGTGTTGTGTGTCATGTGTCGTGTGTCATGTGTGTGTTGTGTGTGTGTGTGTGTGTGTGTTGTGTGTGTCGTGTGTGTGTGTGTCATGTGTTGTGTGTCGTGTGTCATGTGCGTGTGTTGTGTTGTGTGCCATGTGTCGTGTGTCATGTGTGTTGTGTGTGTTGTGTGTGTCGTGTGTTGTGTGTCATGTGTTGTGTGTCATGTGTCATGTGTGTTGTGTGTGTTGTGTGTGTCGTGTGTTGTGTGCCATGTGTCGTGTGTCATGTGTCATGTGTGTTGTGTGTGTGTGTGTGTGTTGTGTGTGTGTGTGTGTGTGTGTCGTGTGTGTGTGTGTGTGTGTGTCATGTGTGTGTGTCATGTGTCGTGTGTCATGTGTGTGTGTGTGTCATGTGTCATGTGTGTTGTGTGTCGTGTGTGTGTGTGTCATGTGTCATGTGGTGTGTCATGTGTGTGTGTGTTGTCATGTGTCATGTGTTGTGTGTCATGTGTGTGTCGTCATGTGTGTTGTGTGTCGTGTGTTCATGTGTGTGTCATGTGTCGTGTGTCGTGTGTGTCATGTGTGTTGTGTGTCATGTGTCGTGTGTCATGTGTGTCGTGTGTCATGTGTGTTGTGTGTCATGTGTGTGTGTGTTGTGTGTTGTGTGTCATGTGTCGTGTGTTGTGTGTCATGTGTGTTGTGTGTCATGTGTCGTGTGTCGTGTGTTGTGTGTCATGTGTGTTGTGTGTGTGTGTCATGTGTGTCGTGTGTCATGTGTTGTGTGTCATGTGTGATGTGTGTCGTGTGTTGTGTGTCATGTGTGTGTGTGTTGTGTGTCATGTGTGTCGTGTGTGTGTGTGTGTGTGTGTGTGTCATGTGTGTTGTGTGTGTGTGTGTGTGTCATGTGTGTGTGTGTGTCGTGTGTCGTGTGTCATGTGTGTTGTGTGTTGTGTGTCGTGTCGTGTGTCATGTGTCATGTGTCGTGTGTTGTGTGTCATGTGTCGTGTGTTGTGTGTCATGTGTTGTGTGTCATGTGTTGTGTGTCGTGTGTCATGTGTCGTGTGTCATGTGTTGTGTGTCATATGTCGTGTCATGTGTCATGTGTGTGTCGTGTGTCGTGTGTCATGTGTGTCATGTGTGTCATGTGTGTCGTGTGTCGTGTGTCATGTGTCGTGTGTTGTGTGTTTCCAGGTGATAGGTGCGGCCCTGTCGCTCCTGTCTCCTCTCGGGGCAAACTTCATGCTCCTGTCCCCAGAACATCAGGCCCAGTGTGAACTCACAGAGGACAGGTTTGGAACCAGCTACACAGTACAAGGTACACACACTACACACACACGACACACTACACACACACGACACACTACACACACACACACACACACACACACACACACTACACACACACTACACACACACACACACACACACACACACACACACACGACACACACGACACACACACACACACACACAACACACACACACACACACACACACACACACACACACACACGACACACACACACACACTACACACACTACGACACACACGACACACTACACACACACACACACACTACACACACACGACACACTACACACACACGACACACTACACACACACGACACACTACACACACACGACACACTGACACACTACACACACACGACACACTCGACACACACACACACACGACACACTACACACGACACACACACACACACACGACACACTACACACACGACACACTACACACACACGACACACTACACACACACGACACTACCACACACGACACACACACGACACACTACACACACACGACACACTACACACACACACACACGACAACACACACGACACACTACACACACGACACACTACACGACACACTACACACACACACACACACACACACACACACACTACACACACACACACACGACACACACACACACGACACACACACACACACACACACACACACACTCACACACGACACACTACACACACACGACACACTACACACACACACACTACACACACACGACACACACGACAAACAACACACACACACACACACACACACGACACACTCACACACACACGACACACACACACACACGACACACACACACACACACACGACACACACACACACACGACACACTACACACACACACTACACACACGACACACTACACACACACGACACACTACACACACACGACACACTACACACACGACACACTACACACACACGACACACTACACACACACACACGACACACACACACTACACACACACGACACACTACACACACACGACACACTACACACACACGACACACTACACACACGACACACTACACACACACGACACACTACACACACACGACACACACACACACACTACACACACACACACACACACACTACACACACACACACACACACACGACACACTACACACACACGACACACTACACACACACACACACACACACGACACACTACACACACGACACACTACACACACACGACACACTACACACACACACACACTACACACACAACACACACACACACTACACACGACACACACACACACACACACACTACACACACACGACACACTACACACACACGACACACTACACACACACGACACACACACACACACACACACACACTACACACACACGACACACTACACACACACACACGACACACACACACACACACAGACACACACACACACACTACACACACACACACACACACACACACACACACGACACACTACACACACGACACACTACACACACGACACACACACACACACACACACACACGACACACTACACACACACACACACTACACACACTACACACACACACACACACACACACACACACACACACGACAACACACACACACACGACACACACGACACACACACACACACACACACACACACACACGACACACTACACACCACGACACACTACACACACGACACACTACACACACACACACACACGACACACTACACACACACGACACACTACACACACACGACACACTACAACACACACACGACACACTACACACACACGACACACTACACACACACGACACACACACACACACACACACACACTACACACACACTACACACACACACACACACTACACACACACGACGACACACTACACACACACACACGACACACTACACACACACGACACTCACTACACACACACACACACACACACACACACTACGACACACACACACACGACACACTACACACACACGACACACTACACACACACTACACACACACACGACACACACACACACACACACGACACACACACACACACACGACACACTACACACACACACACACACTACACACACACGACACACTACACACACACACACACACACACTACACACACACACACACTACACACACACGACACACTACACACACACGACACACTACACACACACACACACACACACAACACAGACACACTACACACACTACACACGACACACTACACACGACACACACTACACACACACACACACTACACACACACGACACACACACACACGACACACTACACACACACACACACACACACTACACACACACACGCACGACACTACACACACACACGACGACACACTACACACACACGACACACTACACACACACGACACACTACACACACACGACACACACGACACTACTACACACACACACACAACACTACACGACACACGACACATGACACACACACACACTACACACACAACACACACTACACACACACACACACACACACACACACGACACACCACACACACTACACACACACACTACACACACACACACACACACACAACACACCACACACAACACACACACTACACACACACTACACACACACGACACACTACAACACACACACACACACACACTACGACAACACTACACACACACACGACACACTACACACACTACACCACACGACACACTACACACACACAACACTACACACACTACACACACGACACACACTGTAAACGACACACACACTACACACACTATACACACACAGAGCTCATGAGTTGAGCGTGAGTGTGTGTGTTCAGATGTTCCTCAGGAGTAACGTGTGTGTGTGTGTGTGTGTGTGTGTGTGTCTCTCTCTCTGTGTGTGTGTGTGTGTCTCTGTGTGTGTGTGGTGTGTGTGTTGTGTGGTGTAGTGTGTGTGTGTGTGTGTGTGTGTTGTGTGTGTGTGTGTGTGTGTGTCTGTGTGTGTGGTGTGTGTGTGCTGTGTGTGTGTGTGTGTGTGTGTGTGTGTGTGTGTGTGTGTGTGTGTGTGTGTGTGTGTGTGTGTGTGTGTGTGTGTGTGTGTGTGTGTGTGTGTGTGTGTGTTGTGTGTGTGTGTACAGTGTGTGTGTGTACATGTGTGTGTGTGTGTGTGTGTGTGTACATGTGTGTTGTGTGTGTGTGTGTGTGTGTGTGTACTGTGTGTGTGTACATGTGTGTGTGTGTCTGTGTGTGGTGTGTGTGTGTGTGTGTGTACATGTGTGTGTGTGTGTGTGTGTGTGTGTGTGTGTGTGTGTGTGTGTGTGTGTGTGTGTGTGTGTACTGTGTGTGTGTGTGTCTGTGTACTGTGTGTGTGTGTGTGTGTGTGTGTGTTGTGTGTGTGTGTGTGTATGTGTGTGTGTGTGTGTGTGTGGTGTGTGTGTGTGTCTGTGGTGTGTGTGTGTGTGGTGTGTGTGTGTGTGTGTGTACATGTGTGTGTGTGTGTGTGTGTGTGTGTGTGTGTACATGTGTGTGTGTGTGTGTGTACATGTGTGTGTGTGTGTGTGTGTCCTGTGTGTGTGTGTGTACATGTGGGGTGTGTGTGGTGTACATGTGTGTGTCTGTGTCCTGTGTTGTGTGTGTGTGGTGTGTGTACATGTGTGTGTGTACGTGTGTGTGTTGTGTGTGTGTGTGTGTGTGTGTGTGGGTGTGTGTACTGTGTGTGTGTGTGTGTGTGTGTGTGTGTGTGGTTGTACATGTGTGTGTGTACGTGTGTGTGTGTTCAGATGTTCCTCAGGAGTGGAGAGATCTTTGGAGCACTGACTTTGAGCTGAACCCGGATCTGCACCTGCCCCCACCAAACGACTACATCAGTGAGAAACACACAAACACACACACAAACACACACACACACACACAGACATACCAGAGTCATGTGACCTCTGTGTGAACTGTATTTGTGTCTGTGTATGCGTGTGTATGTGTGTGTGTGTGTGTGTGTGTGTGTGTGTGTGTGTGTGTGTGTGTGTGTGTGTGTGTGTGTGTGTGTGTGTGTGTGTTGTGTGTACATGTGTGTGTGTGTGTGTGTGTGTGTGGTTGTGTGTACATGTGTGTGTGGTGTTGTGTGGTGTGTTTGTGTGTGTACATGTGTGTGTGTGTGTGTGTGTGTGTGTGTGTGTGTGTGTGTGTGTGTGTGTGTGTGTGTGTGTGTTGTGCGTTTCAGCCTCTGATTTCAGCCTGAGTTGTGCAGACTGTCCTGGGTCTCTGTTCCCTGTGTGTGTGGAGAGGAGCCAGAGGGGGGCACTGTGGTACAAGAGAGACACCACCTACAACCTGCCCAAAGGTCACATACACACACACAGACCCTGTCACACACACAGACCCTGTCACACTAACACCACCTACAACCTGCCCAAAGGTCACATACACACACACAGACCCT